TTGACATACACCATGCAGATCTAGTATCAATCATTTATGAGAAATTTACATCAACAATTTTAACACAATTGGCACAAGGCACTTCAATGTGATGTGTTCACAATCAAACAGCTGGCATGTGACAAGACGAGGAATATACAAAACACCTACAAGTATCACAATTTCAAATTCACACCGTCTTACTGAAAATGCTGATTTGATGATTATCTTAACGGCCAAAAGTTAAGAGACCCATGCCTGGCTGTGGCTGCCTGACATATCTAAACTGACACATCTGTCACCTGCAAAACATTTCTAGTCAGCACAGACAGGAGAGGTCACAGCCAACCTCTGCACATTTGCCAGTGGTGTTTGCCATGTGTGGAGTTGTTTCCACATGACGACTGCAATGTGCTCTACACTGTATACACCTGTACCCATCTCACATTTGAATGTACATAAACCTGATTGATTATCCAAATCCAACAAACATATCATGACTACCCTGTCATTGTGTCTCTGACCTGAGAGGTACAGTGGCTACTGAAGCCCCCACACAGCATCTAAGGTCACATTTTCTGTTCCAGGTTTTTATTGCACCTGTGTCACTATCGGACACAGATGTCAGTACAGATGCCTGGGTACTATGACAATAATGGAATTATCATCCAGCATTTGCCTCGGTAATATTACTTCCATGACATATCACCGGCAATGCCATGTAATGTGTATAAGGCTTAATGATTCATACATTAGGATCAGCTCAAAGTATACGAAAATGAACATACAGATTGCTCAACGTGATGGAGGGGTCCTTATATTTTGCTGCTTACCATGATCAAGAGGTGGGTATCACTTGACACTGAAGAATGATGGATTCTGATTGGTTGCCTTAAAACTATACCTTTTCACACAAGAACTTGTTTGTGAATACATCAATCTCTCTATAGTATACATATCGCTGCATAAAACAATGGTTACTGATAAACCATAAAAGTTTGGGGTGGAGAAAGTCATTCTGAATACGTATTACTGTTACTCAGGTTCGGGGAGTCAGGCCCGCTGACTTGGTTGATGCATGTCATCGGACCCCAATTTGCATGGATCGATGCTCATGATTTCAGTAGGGCTGGTGATTCAGATCGATAATCGTAATTATCATCGATGGAAGAAGGTTGTGACGATTATCGATATGAATATAATGCTATCGATAATGACATGTATTTTTTCGACAAATAAAAGTTTTTACTGCAACACATTTGACTTATTTGTTTTGCTGTCCTTGTAATTATCGCTAGATATAAACAGATTCACCCTAACATACAGTTTTCTCTCCTTCGCTTTATGTTTAGTCGCAAATAATAATCAAATGTTTCAAAAAGTAAAAAGTTCTGCTTTGAATCGAACGACGACGCCATTACGTGTTGTTAGTGGGTAATTACAAATGTAGTCACTGGCATCTAAATGCGGAGTCAGGACTTTAGAAAATATGTATATTTTCGAAATAGTATGAAGTATCATGATTAAAATAGGTTTCATAATACTTTAATTCTTAAAAAGAATTCTTCCCATTCTATTTCATAAAATTTCAAATTTTATGTCTATTTGGTAACTACGTATTCCGGTCTGTTTCGATTTTTTCAATGCTCATAGTTTTCGTTTTCCCCGGTATTCTCAAATCACAGCCCACGTGAGGTCCACGTGGGGTTTGACATTTTTACGATATGGCAGCAAAAATTCCTAATTTCCCCGTTATAATCGCACGATGTTTGTTTAATATCAGTTTGCCACCCAATCTATTACGTATCACACCTGTGAACCTAGTACAACCTACTACGTACCACACACCTGACATTCACAATGGCGGAATATTTGATGATTTTTGTATCTGAATAGTTTCGTGAATACTGTACATAAATGACAAACGACTATATCAGGTGAAATTACATTTAATTTCTCAATTACCGTATTTTCTTGAGTACAGTGCGCACCCATCTATAATGCGCACCCCCCTCTAGCGGGTTCAATATTTTGGAAAAAAAGAAATTTGAATATTATGCGCAGAAAAAATTTACACCGTACCCTTTCAGCGAAGTCCGGCACACGAACGGGTGATGAGAAACTTCCTCAGTACAAATTCGAAATTTGAGATAAAAAATCACCAGACATGTTTATTTACCGTTTAAATAGTATTTATTGTTCTGCTAGGCATTGTTTTATATCCAGGGATTAAGATTACCTTGTGTATTTTCTCGTAAACTAAGCCGGAAACAGCAATCAGCTGTACACACGTTTTCTTGGAATCGACCGGTGATTCGGTCAAGACACACCCAATGATATAACTTAATAGGATTTTTAATGCAAGGATCGGCAAAAATTGTATATGAAACTATTTTTTTTATCAAGAATAATATATTCCATTATTTTCTTAATTATATGCAGCCTTTACTAAACATATTTAAAATAGATAATAACCCTAAGCGAAGCAGCTGATCGCTATTCCCGGGTATTATTTTTTACATGGACCCAGTCTGACCAGTCACCGTCAAGGCTCACGCGCACGTGATCGCGTGATCGCGAGAATTTCATGTTGACATAGAATCGTCAAACAAAAACAAATATGACTTTTAACGAGTCAAAGTATGTCATTTATGATATATGTATCCATTCTCTGTCAACTAAAGTTCGTTTCAAGACGTCAATAGCGGTATTCTGACCGTGGTTGCTGTTAATAACGGTGAGTTGTGCGATCTTCCGATCGCTTCACACACGATTTCGCCGAAATTAATAAAAACAATATTAAAAGGAATACTCAAGAAAATACGGTATTCTCACTTTATACAAATAATAATTGTCTTTGACGACATGAATCTTAAACTCAGATTGTTCATCGCTAAAAATGCGATGTAACGTGCGTATTGTTGAAACACTGAGTCTCCGGAGAAGTGAATTGCCATTTTTCTGTAATGTCATTTTACCAAAATAGAATTCTTTGATATTTATCGATTATTGATCGATATGTGACTACCGATAATCGATCTGAGTAATCCATATCGATAACCAGCCCTAGATTTCAGTCACTGGATTGTCTGGTCCAGACTTAGTTATTTACAGACCACTGTTAAATACATAAACTATGGTTATCATGGTTATAACGAACTCAAAGGGACCACTAATTTTAGTTCGTAATAACCGCAATTCGTTTAAGCATATATACAGCATATAAACAAATGGCTGGGACTAAAAAATAAGTTTGTTATATCGGTCAGTTCGTTTTAAGCCTGTTCGTTAAAGATGAGTTTACTGTAGCTTGAATTGTTTAATGCGCATTAAACAACACACAAACATCAAATGAACATCTTTCAGGAAAAGGCTGAAAGCATTAGGTTCAAAAGTGTATTATTCATTTCCACAATTATTTTCTCAATATGTAAAAATTCACGCCCATATTCCGTCACAACTTGGGAGTATGACAGAAGGCTGTCCCTGTCTCCAGCCCAATGGTAACAGTAAGCCAGGACGGCCTACCTCACGAAGCAAAAGCTGCAGTTTCTCTCCCAGTGTTTAATGCAGCCATGTTCACACACAACAAGACCGCTGGTACAACCTGGTCTGTTCTGTGGGCCATGTAGAGTGGAATATTTCAAATGGACCATGTCTAGGATTTTCACGTTTCATCACTCAAAAAGTTGGTCTGAATCGGCATCTATCAACAACCCAGTAACTCATTGGTCAAGACCAAGGCAATAACTGCATAATCAAGGCTTCCACAAACTGATTTCAATGTGGCACACTTGGTTTGTTTACTATAGAAAATTGCAAGCATAAGTGGTTTCCTAACTTAGAATATTGTCACCACTGGTACACGGACCTGGTTTGACAAACATCGTGCAGATCTAGAATCAATCATTTATGAGAAATTTACATCACCAAAAAGTTGGTCTGAATCGGCATTTAGCAACAACCCAGTAACTCATTGGTCAAGACCAAGGCAACAACTACATAATCACGGAATCAAAAACTGATTTCAATATGGCACACTTGGTTTGTTTACTATAGAAAATTGCAAGCATAAGTGGTTTCCTAACTTAGAATATTGTCACCACTGGTACACGGACCTGGTTTGACAAACATCGTGCAGATCTAGTATCAATCATTTATGAGAAATTTACATCACCAAAAAGTTGGTCTGAATCGGCATTTAGCAACAACCCAGTAACTCATTGGTCAAGACCAAGGCAACAACTACATAATCACGGAATCAAAAACTGATTTCAATATGGCACACTTGGTTTGTTTACTATAGAAAATTGCAAGCATAAGTGGTTTCCTAACTTAGAACATTATCACCACTGGTACACGGACCTGGTTTGACATACATCATGCAGATATTCAATATTCGTAATGGTAATTGAGAGCCTCTGCCGAATATGGGCATGCATTTTTCCAGAGTCTTGCATGACTATTGTCGCGACACACAGTCTAAGGGTTAACCAGCCATTGTCTGGGTCTCAGGTTTGACAAATGATTTGTTTGTTTGTTTGTTGTTTAACGATGCACACAGCAATATTCCAGATATATGACGGCGGTCTGAATAATATTCTGGACCAGACAATCCAGTAATTGACATCATGAGCATCGATCCATGCAATTGGGATCGATGACGTATGAACCAAGTAAGCAAGCCTGACCATCCATTCCCATTAGTCGCCTTTTATGACAAGCATAGTCGCCTTTCACAGCAAGTATGGGTTGCTGAAGACCTATTCTACTCCAGAATCTTCATGGGTCATTGGTCAAATGTACCCAAGGTACCCAGTTTCTTGCAGAACTCACTGTCATCTAGGCAGCCCAATTCATGGCGGTCAGATGTCATCAAAAGTATGAACCATCTACGATAATACTGTGAAAAAACATTTGATTGGGGTCATTTACTTGCTGCACTGTTCGGTGGGGTTTCAACAAGTGGACCATATCATCATACATCTCTGATGTGGAACTGTCAGACAGGATGTACTCACCTGTCGTCATGGGCAAATATAGACTTGTGACAGTCTCCAAAGTCCATTCCCCAGATCTTGACATTCCTGTCGGCAGATCCAGTGACCAGCAGCGTGCTGTCAGACGATATGTCCATACACAACACTGGGAGCTTGTGGCCATACATCGACAGGAAGAACTGAAACATTAGTCAGTGAGTGAGTGAGTATGGTTTTATGCTCCTTTTAGTAGGGTACACCAGACATGGTGTCACCCATTGTACCCATGTGGGTAACCGAACCCGGGTCTTCGGCGTGACGAGCAAATGCTTAAATCACAAGGCTACCCCACCGCCAAAAAACTACAGAAATTAGATACCATAATCCCTGTATTAAGAACACCGATCCGACAAGAGCCCCCTGACAAAACTTCTTGATCAATCTGTAAGTGAGTGAGTGAGTTGGGTTTAACGCCGCTTTTAACAGTATTCCAGTTATATCGCAGCGAGACAGCTTAATGTGGGAGAAAAGCCTGAAGTGATGCGGGTCTCAGACGTTTACCACTTCGGTGAAACCCACGAGCACGGGTATGGTGCTGACAAACCTAGAAACATAATCTGGGCGAACAGGGATTCGAACCCACAATCATAGTTTTCTGGCATGACCAAGGGACTCAACTCTGCACAGCGAATTGCGGCGCCTTAGACGACTGGGCCACCCGTGCACCCCCCAATCTGTAAGTAATCTTTATAAGCGCCCCATCTGAAGATTGCCATGACAGTCCATGCTGAATTATTTTCACACTTTTTAGCCCTGCCTGCTGGATTAATTTCAGCATAAGGTGCTGTAAAGAGGTGGTTGATTTCAAACAGTTGGTGCTTCATTATACAAGGGCCAATTGAAGAAATATTTTGCACCTTTATTCCTGATAGAAAAATACACATTACTATGATAGTGACTCAGCAATCACAGACATCAGGCTTAACGCACCTTCAGTGTGTCGGAAAAGAACACCTTGACCGTGTTGTCCATCAACGAGGCTGCCACAAACTTCTGGTCAGGACTGAAACAAACAGTGAGTGAGTATTGTTTTACACCACTTTTAGCAACATCACAGCGTGGAGCAAGTCCTGCCAGGGAAAGTATAGCAACACTGTCCCAGCACCGAGAACACCCCACTGCCACAGTGGGCAGCCAGGCAGGTCTCAGTCCTAATGTTTCTATTCCAGACTTTCATTTCATCAGCAGCATGGAGTGGCTGCCTCTGTACTCAACAGTCTGGATCAACCTGACAATTATCAACAGCCAATTCTTATTCTCTCAAAGGCAGAGAGCACAGAAAAACTTGGAGAACGTGTGCTCAAGTGAAAGAACTAGGTACTATGCTGTCTTAGAAACTTTGTTTGTTTGTTGTTTAACGCCGCACTCAGCAATATTCCAGCTACATGACGGCGGTCTGTAAATAATTGAGTCTGGACCAGACAATCCAGTTATTGACATCATGAGCATCGATCCATGCAATTGGGATCGATGACATGCATCAACCGAGTCAGCAAGCCTGACCACCCGATCCCGTTAGTCGCCTTTTGCGACAAGCATAGTCGCCTTTTACGGCAAGTATGGGTTGCTGAGGACCTATTCTACCCCGGAATCTTCACGGATTGTTTTAGAGGGTATTTTAGTTGTTCCATCATGGTGGATCAGCTTAAAGGCAGCAAACTAAAAGTCAAACAGGCTGTACCACTTAAAACCAATGAGTAAATGGATCGTTGCGCATAAGACCCGTGAAGATCGGGGGTGGAATAGGTCTTCAGCAACCCATTATTGCTGTGAAAGGCGACTATGCTTGTTGTAAGAGGCGACTAACAGGATCGAGTGGTTAGGCTCGCTGACTTTGTTGATGCATGTCATCGTATCCCAATTGTGTGGATTGATGCTCATGATATCAATCACTGGATTGTCTGGTCCAGACTCGATCATTTACAGAGTGCGGTGTTAAACAACAAACCAACCATCATCCCTGCAGCTACGGTCTCAACACAAGTTACTATGGTGGAAAGTTGGAAGTAGGTGGTTATTTGTTTGTTTAACACTGCACCCCACAATATTAGAGCACCCTTAAAATAATTTAATCTGGATGAGATACTCTGGAGATTGATATCACTTTCAATGATCCATGTCATTAGGGCATAATGGCAAACAAGAGCCAATGCATCAAACCCATGAATGGGAGACAACTCACCTGTACTTGACACACAGCACATCTTCGTCCATCTTCAGTGTCTTCTTGTGCTCCAGGGTAAGACGTTTGCTGGGGAAAGAACATTTTTGTGGAGAAAGCCAGAAAGATATATCTCAACCAGAGTTCGAAGAAAATGCCTGCCTGTAGGCCCCCGACAGGTAGAGCTCGAGTCGGGCTCGTAGTTTCAAATTTGTATGGATCCTTGTGGCCTGCAGTAAATGTACATGTCGATTTATCTGTCATAATAAGCTGCAGTTTTTTTAATAATGGCCTGAAGAGTTTAGTCAGGGCCTGCAGCTTCTGAAGTCTGTGGGTCCTGATGGCAGCCTGGAATTTTTTTATTTCAAACAATGATCTCAACATGTATATTTTATTTATTTACAAAATAACTTTATACCAAACTATAAACAGTCACCATCTAAGGTTTCCAATAATCTTGCTATTTCAATCTTTACAGCTGTATTTCAGGGGGGGGGGGAAGTGTACACAATAAAGAGGGAAAAAAAGTTGGAAAAGCATACTGCTGCACTGTGAGTGAGTGAATATATTTTTACCCTGCTTAGCAATATTCAGTATATATATTATTCAGGCAATATCAGGGAACACCAGAAAGGGGCCTCACGTTGTATTGTGGGGAATTGAGTAAGTGAGTGAGCGAGTATGGTTTTACGTCGCTTTGAGCAATATTCCAGCAATATCACGGCGGGGGACAACAGAAAAGGGCTTCACACATTGTACCCATGTCGGGAATCAAACCCTGGTCTTCGGCGTGACGAGCGAACGCTTTAACCACTAGGCTACCCGACTGCCCCTGTGGGGAATTGAACTCAGGTCTTCGGTGTGACGAGCGAATGCTACCCCACCACCCCTCCTGTTCCACAGCATCACAATAGTGCTTATAACTCAAGTGTCCAAGAAATCTACTGGGACCCATCTTAGGTTACTAAGAGCAAGCCATGTCACAATGACAAAGATAATCAACTCATGCCATATTCACAACATTGCAATCTTGTGTATTATTGTAGCCTAGCAACACATCACATATGTCTCCAGCCCTATGGTAACAGTAAGCCAGGTCAGCCTACGTCACGAAGCAAAAGCTGCAGTTTCTCTCCCAGGTTGTTTAATGCAGCCATGTCGACACACAACAAGACCGCTAGTCCATGGACCTGGTTGTATCGGAGTAGGATGGTATCCTATACTCATGTTTTACAGAGCTTGACATTTATATAAATATACCCAAGTCACTATGTCTAATAAACAATACAAATTACCTATGAATACAGCTAGCCCAATTAGGTGCTTCAGCCACTGTAAGCAATAAGTTTGTGACGGTATTTTTCAGGTCAGTCAGTGTGTGGTCCTTATTTACTGCACTGGCCTTCTGAGCCTGTAGAAATATAGTGATAGACCTAGGATGAGGTTTCACTACCATTTGTCTAACAGGACAGCTTATTTGTCGAGCATTGGTACCATATATGACCATAGATAAGACGGATTTTGAAAGACACACAATTTCGCCAAAATTTATGTGAACATTATAGAATGAAATATTGAGTAAAAGTTATTAATTATATATTTATAGATTACTAACATAAGTATGGATATGCAATGAAGACTTTTCTTTATTACAAGACAGTGTAACAACAGATTAACTTGCATAATTCAAAAGAGTCGGAAAAAACCATCCAAACTGCAAATTTCTCCATTGACGTGAAATGCACTGTCGTTGATAAAATTGTTTTGTCCCAGCTGATACATTATCAACACTATTGCTCTGCACTGGTCTCCTCTAAGACCTTGACTATGGTTTCAATAACCCAAAGCTTTAGCTACCTTACAGTGGTGACCATTCTTGAATTACGGATTTACTATTACCCCCACAAAACCACAAATTGCAGTCAAATGTCTTTGACTATTGATTTGTTACCTGGTTGAGGAATGTTCTTCATCTTTAATGAGCTCAAAGTTCCAGAACTTGATGTTGTGATCAGCGCTGCCAGTCATTATGCCTCTCTGTTGTTGGGAATAGAAGTGAGTGAGTGTGTGAGTGTTCGTTAATTGGTTAAAGAGTGAGTGAGTGAGATGGGTTTAACGCTGCTTTTAACAGTATTCCAGTTATATCACGGCGTGTTGGCTTAATGTGGGAGGAAAGCAAGAAGTGATGCAATTCTTAGACGTTTACCATTTCAGTGAAACCCACGAGCACGGGTATGGTGCTGACAAACCTAGAAACATAATCGGGGCAAACCGGGATTTGAACCGACAATCATAGGTTTCTGCCATGCCGAAGGGATGCAACTCTGCACAGCAAATCGCGGTGCCTTAGACAACCGGGACAACCGGGCCACCCGGGCCCCTCTAGTTGGTTAATGCTGCAGTCAGACATATCACAGCTATATAATGGCGGCCTGTAAATTACCAGTCACCAAGATTGACCACCCGATCCATGTTATCCATCCAGCCTCTAATGATAAGCATAAATTGCTGGGGACCAACTCTATCCCCAAATCACCATGGCAGAGTCCAGTGTGTCAACTTTCACTTCTGTATATAAACTTAAATTGTTTTTGAGAAAAACTGTCCCCATTGGGAAGCAGACCGACAGATGGAAGGACGGACAGGCTAACTCCATTCCTATATTCCCCCGCCCCACTTCATGGTGGGGGATAATATAGAAGTTGTCATCCATAAATGATATTGTGACAGCCGTACAGTGGAGGTCTCACCTTGTCTGGGGCCATGGAGACTGACCACAGGGGACCGGAGTGAGCCTCAATGTCTTCCAGCAGGGATCCTGACGCCACATCAAATATCTGCAGCTTCCCACTCTGTAGTGAAGGAGACTTATACATTCACTAGATGTCTTTCTAAAAACAATCTTGTTACATTCTTAAATTTAATCTATAGTTTTGTTACAAATTCAGCTTATATGTTACATGGGTGGGAAATAAATAAAATATCTAATCCTCCCAAATGTCAAACTTTAATGTTTAAACTTTTTCCAACAATGAAAAATCTCTATTTATTCATTATTTTCAAGAGCAAAACAACTATCACATTTGTATGACTCTCCACAAGCAAGATAACAAAAGATCTTCAGTATGAGTGATTGAGAGTGACTGAGTCAGTGACTGAGCCAGTGAATGTTTGTTGTTTAATGTCGAACTCAGCAAGTATTCCAGCTTCATGACGTCAGTCTGTAAATACCCAATTCTGGACCAGACCACACAGTGATTTGACACCATGAGCATCAATCTACATAATTGAGATACAATGACATGTGTCAACCAAGTCAGCAAGCCTCACCACAAAATCCTGTTAACTTGCCCCTAACACATCTTCCCGAGGCAAGGGCGTTAACCGACTATAACAGCCCAGTTTCCACCCTTGACTGAACTAGGCTGGAATTATGGTGTTAGATTTTTGCTATTTTTAGTCCAATCAAAATCACTCCATCACACAAAGTGACCCAAGAGCTACAACAGGGTTCCATCACACAAAGTAACCTTACGACTATCTCTGAGTTGAGCAAGCAGGGACTCACCTTGGTGCCGATTATGACGTGTCTGTCCCCCGGGGCAAACATGGAGGTGATGGCGTACTCACACGGCATGGTGCGGATAGGCTGCAGTGAGTCCCTGGACATGACACAGTGAGTAAGTGGATTAACAAAGTTTTGAGGTGAGGTGAAATGGTGTTTAACGTTGCGTCCAAGATTATTGCACTTAAATAGCAACATGTGTGTGGCTGCTTGTACTAAACCAGACTGATGCCACCTTCATAGTGCTAGCCCACTAAGATGCAATGCAATGTTTTAACATGAATACCCTACTCAGGAACAGTATACTGACACCAAGCCGACCAGTCCTTGTTTTAGACCCTTAATGCCGAGTGCCAGGCAGTACCATCTTTCAACATCTTTCTGTATGACGCAGCCAGGGATCAAACCCCGAACCCTCTACTCTCCAGGATGGATGCTCTACCATTAGACAATGGTTCGATCATGAAAATTTTGACCCGTATTTTAGTTGTATCATGGCTTTTCAGCCTAGTTAGGAAAAAAGCCCAAAGTGATGAAGTTCTCAAACGTTTACCACAGGGGTCCGGAAAATTTAAAATCCCAATCGGACATTTGCATTTAGGCCACGCCCCCTTCAAATAGCGTATTTTAGTACGACTTTTCACACACATTACAAGTTTACAAGTTTACGTATTCATAACATGATGAATTATGAATTGTTTCAATTTAAATTGTTTAATTCACCGGACAATTAATAACAAATAATATAATTTTAGATTTACATGGAAAACATACGTTTGTTTCTGTTATAATAACGATCTATCAACGTAGTGAACGGTCTAATTAATATTCATGAGTTATATTCATGAGTCTGCTCAAGTGTACGCGTTGTAACATTTGGATCGAGACTATTATCCCATATTTGGTTATCACGTGACCTCACGGGAATTTTTTTTTTTAAACTAAAGATTTTTTTAAAAACAAGACAGATAATTTAATCACAAATACTAAAATATCGTTGATAGCAATAGTTATTTGAATACTTTTTTCATCTGTACTTAATTATTGACCATAAAAAAATTGGATATCGATCGTCCGAGAAAGCAAAATGGCGGTCAATCAAGATTCAATATACGACTAGCTACTGAAAAAATTAAATCTGCAAATCCTCATTGTTTGTCAACCAAGTGAAAGCCGTTAGCCACGACTTACAAAATGATCGTCCAGACTTTGAGGGTTTGGCAGATCCGCTCGACTGATCTGCATCGGTCGACTGGCTGTCGTCACGCTTTCGCTTCTTGTCTGAGGTTACGTATCGTAGCATTGTGAGGATAATGAGGTACATCGATGATGCAAGGTATTAATGTACAGTTGTAAACACCTTTCACTCAAATTAACAAGATGTTCTCAGTAATTAATCCTCGATTAATCAGTGTCAACTCAGTTTATTGCCTATTACAGTGTTTTACCGATTGGACTATCATGTAGGTACGATGTATTTACAGCAATCAAAACAAACAAAGCTTGTCAGTGTAGTTAATCTTCATTGTGTTGCAACTGCAGACAGAAACTGCTCAGTCCTAACTGTTGATCATGTCCGGTCAAAATTTAAGAATGTCCGGACAATACTTTTTAAAATGTCCGGTAAGCAATATTTTAAAACGGACATTTGAGATTCCCAATCGGACATGTCCGGCGCATATGACGGTTTCCGGACCCCTGGTTTACCACTTTAGCATGTCTAGAGGAACATAACCAGGGTGAATGACCCGCAATGTTATTCGTTTTTTCAAACACCTTCCCAGCCTACTGCTCAACATGAACCACCTGAGTGAAGGCAGGTATGCTGACCTGTTCCAGATCTTGATGGACTCGCTGCTGGCAGACAGTATGGCCAGGTTGTCGGAGCTGAAGCATGTGGTCCGTGGTGTGGTTCGGTGAGCCGGGAGGCCGAGCGTTTTCACATCAGACAACTCCGCCTTCTTGTTGTCAACGTGTATGGCCGACGTCTGTATGGAGTTGTTGTTGAGCAGGCACACACACTGCAGACACACAAGTCAGAAAATCATGAAACTGAGTTGAAGACAAAATGGTCACTTTGAGTCGTAACTAGTAAGCTATAAAATTACATTTTGAAAGGGAACGTCTGGATGTATTAAAAGAGAAATGGTGGGGAACAAGGGGGAACACAAATGTCACAATATTCTGTAATCTGCACTCTGGCAGAGCTTGATGGTTCGTGCAGTGAGAGCGAGAGAGTGTGTGCGTGTGTGAGTGAGGTTTAACTTCACATTCAAAGTCCAGAATCAGCATCAGAGTTTAGTGGAGTAAGTGAGTATGGTTTACGCCGCTTTTAGCAAAATTCCAGTAATATCACAGTGGGGAACAGCAGAAATGGGCTTCACACATTGTACCTATGTAGGGAATCGAAGTTAAGTGGACCATTATGAAGGTGTGAATCACATGGACATCTTACAGCAAAAGCAAATCATTATTTCCTACTATTTTACAGCTAGTTCAAACTGCCAGCTGATCAAGACTAGTCCCCGTCTTATCCTAGAGAAATGATGAAGATGTCTTCCAATTCTCATCATTTTGTTTGTTTGTTGTTTAACGCCGCACTATATTCCAGCTATATGACGATGGTCTGTAAATAATCGAGTCTGGACCAGACGATCCAGCAATTGCAATACGATGACATGCATTAACCAAATCAGCGAGCCTGACCATCCGATCCCGTTAGTCACCTCTTATGACAAGCATAGTCACCCTTTTACGGCAAGCATGGGTTGATTAAGACCTAATTCTACCCCAGATCTTCACGGGTCCATTTCACATCATTATCATGTTTATAGGGGGGACCCTATTTCCATTCTATTTTAGACACTGCAATAAATGAATTGTGTCAAACACGAACATCGTCAGTGTATTCATGACCTGGTAGATTCATATGTACATTAAATTGATGTTTAGGGATAAAGAAGGATTTAAATGTGAATTAAACTTTCTTGGACTTCCTGAGGGCCTAGTCCCCCCAGTGATCAGAGAAGGTAAATGAGCTGTACTACTGATCCGTTCCTCACCTTCACTGACTCCCCTTCCTGCTCCTCCAGGAGGTCAAGCGCCCTCACTTTGGCGGCCATCTTGACTGCAGTCATTCTCTTGATCTCATCCATCAGCTTGATCTCCACAGTGACCTCTCCCTCTCCCTCCTCCTCCCTATAGCAGCAGACATAGTCTTGAGACATGAAACCTACTGCCCCCTCTACTGATGATACACTGGAAGTCATCACAGCTTTGTACCGCAATCATAGCTGCCGACTTTCCCAAATTACAATCTCTATTTTGTACAATCTTCTGTCAGGGACACAACAGCCTGACAATATCTTGTTGCTTTGTTTCTATTTCTAGTACGGCAACTTTTGATAATATGAGTGGAGTGACTCAATTGGAAATATCAGTATTTTAGATGCAAACTCATAACTGACAAATAATTTGGGACGGTTGGCAGCTTTGCTCAAAATAGTTGGACAAGTTTTCATACTCATCAAATTCAGCTAAATGTTTTCATATAAACTCCTTCACTAAATGTTGGTGATGTTTTATTTTTTCAAAGTTCCCCCAAATCAAGAAAGATAATGCGAAACGACTGGGCTCCCATTGTACGACAGCTGTTGAACTGGCTTGTTACATAACAACAGCACAGTGTACAAAGTTAGCGTCTGATGTCAGCATCTCATTTTGTCAGTGTCTCATGCCATCAGCTTATGTCATTAATGTGTCATCTTGAACAGCAAATCATGTCGTTATCATATGTCATTGTATTACTAAACAGTCACACAAACTGATAGTAATATTTTACTCGCATGTACCGGTACTCTACATGCGATTATCTTCCTGGATGTTTATTACTGAACATTTGGGTCTTTCTTTGGATCGAGGCATTATTAAAGTTATTAATGGAGATCAGTTTGTTATGACGGTATATTAGACACGGTAGTCATACAAACTGATAGTCATATTTAACTCGCATGTTCTCTACATGCGATAATCAACATCCAGGTCCTTGTCTGTGGGTTGAGTGATAATTCATACTTTTTTCTATTCAGTCTTACATTCGATGTTGTATGCCCAGATACATTATTTTACATGTGGTTAATGGTATAATGGGGACTAGTTGATAGACTGGTGTACTGCACTTGTAGCAAAGTATAGGCATTATTAAAGTTATTAATGGAGATCAGTTTGTTATGGCGTTGGTTTATCAGAAACCTCATTACTATGAGTGAGTGAGTTGGGTTTAACGCCGCTTTTAACAGTATTCCAGTTATATCACGGCGTGTCAGCTTAATGTTGGAGGAAAGCCCGAAGTGATGCAGGTTTCAGACGCTTACCACTTCGGTGAAACCCACGAGCACGGGTATGGTGCTGACAAACCTAGAAACATAATCAGGACGAACCGGGATTCGAACCAACAATCATAGGTTTCTGGCGTGTCCAATGGACGCAACTCTGCACAGTGAATTGCTGCGCCTTAGACGACTGGGTCACCCGTGCCCCCCTCATTACTATGAAGCATTTACAGTATGTGTTGGCAATGTTGCAGAATATAACAGGTGCAACTGTGACACTGTATCAGCAGCAGTGTCGTGAACACTCCACACAGAGAGACACAAGAAGCTGCATACTGAATCTCTTTCCCAGGACTTTATTTCAGGATCAGCACGTTGGCCAAGCCCGTACTCAACGTCCTGGCACTATCTGTCATGGCCCCACATGATGCAATGTGTAATGATTTGGTTGGTTGGTTCGTTTGTTGTTTAACGCCGCACTCAGCAATATTCCAGCTATATGACGGCGGTCTGTAAATAATCGAGTCTGGACCAGACAATCCAGTAATTAATATAATGAGCATCGATCCACGCAATTGGGATCGATGACATGAATCAACCAAGTCAGCAAGCCTGAACACCCGATCCCGTTAGTCGTCTTTTACGACAAGCATAGTCACCTTTTACGGCAAGCATGGGTTGCTGAAGACCTATTCTACCCCGGGTCCAATGTGTAATGAATGACAGATGACTCACTTCAGTTTTCTTTTGGCTTTCTTTTCCCTCTTGGCGAGGTGTTTCTTGAGCTTCTCCTCAGATGGCAGGGCAAACACGTCCACATTTGCAGCATTGCCCTACAACACATCACAGACACTGTCTATACTCCAACCAATACCCAACAGGTATCACATTAAGTACCTGTGTAAACTTATCTTTGTCTTACTATAAGTGAATATGGTTTTATGCCTCTTTTAGCAATATTCCAGCAATATCACAGCAAGGGACATGAGAAATGGGCTTCACACATTGTACCCATGTCGGGAACAAACTCGGGTCCTCACGTGATGAGCAAACACTTTAACCATTAGGCCACCCCACCGCCTCTGCCTGAATATGAAATGCAAGCAACTGCTACATCTTGCACCACTTGTACATGTTGTAAATTGGGGGACTTGGATTTCATACGTGTTTTGACCAGTATTTCAGTTATATCCCAGCTGAAGAACAACTGAATGTGACACCCGTGAAACAGAAAGGTTTCTTTTGTTTGTTTCTTTTTTTTGTTGTTCAATGCCACACTCAGCAATATTCCAGCTATATGACGGCGGTCTGTAAATAATCGAGTCTGGACCAGACAATCCAGTGATTGACATCATGTGCATCGATCCACACAATTGGGATACAATGACATAACCAACCAATTAAGCGAGCCTGACCACCCAATCCCGTTAGGTCACCTCTTTATGGCAAGCATGGGTTGCTAAAGACCTTTTCTGACCCGGATCTTCCTGGGTGGAAAACCCACAAGTACGGGTATGTTATCGAGAACATAATTCTTGGAACATCTGAAAATCAAAAATCATTTTCAGCGAACCATGGCACTCTCAGGGACACAGAGAATTGTGGCGCCTCAGACAACTGAACCAGCCTTGCCACTCCAAAAGACAACTTTATTTCTGTTAGTCACAATGCATTTGGAAAGTGGTTAACGCTACATGTTTTATGTGTGCATTCAATTTTCAGGAATACATCAAAAACTGGATATTGTCAGTTACTTACATGACAGACGAGTATACTTTCTAATTCATCTGTTACCATGGATACCACTCTGTCTCGGCCCAATCTCATGACAGATCCAACTTTGGTGCACTTGAGGATGTTCTGTCAAATGAAAAGTATTCAACCTCAATGTCATAATACACTCAGACATTCTGCTCCTTCTATATTTCAGGTTTGTTGTTCAAAACTGCACAAAGCAATGTTCCAGCTCTATGAAGGCAGCCTGTAAATAATCAAATCTGGAGCAGGCAATCCAGTGAATGACATCATGAGCATCAATCTACGCAAATGGGATACAATGACATGCATCAACAAAGTCAGCTAGCCAAACCACCCAATCCTCTTACGACAAGCATAGAAGCCACATTCCCATCGGGGTAAGAACAGGTAAATAAGAGGTTCAAACAAGTGGAAACATGCATTCTTCCTCAAGATGCAACACTCATGTTGATGAATCATGAGAACGATCACACATGATCGCGCGCACGCACGCACACAAATTCCTCAAGCATCAAGGGAATATCATTTGCCGACATCTTGTAAAGGACGTCACTACCTCCAATATTTGTTTGCTTGTTGTTTAATGCCACACTCAGCAACATTCAAACTATATGATGGCAGTCTGTAATTAATCAAGTCTGGACCAGGCAATCCAGTGATTGACATCATGAGCATCGATCCATGCAATTGGGATACAATGACATGCATCGATCAAGTCAGCGAGCCTGTTGGTGGTCTCGTAAAAATTGCCTCCTAGAACAAGCATGGGTTGCTGAAGACCAATTCTAACCCAGATCTTTATGCTGAATCCTTTTTTATGCAAATCAATTTATGAGCTCCTGGTGACCCTAATGACACAAAAACGATGTCTCAGTTTCACAAACAACAATGCTTAGTTAGCTCTAGACTGAAAATGGGCTCCAATCGTGGAGCATGGTCCTCAGTGGACACACACAGGGGCCATTTTGACTGCACAATCCCCATCCTCTGTCCTTTTCCCATACACTGTTGTGAAGCAACAGTTGAACATTAGGACCCATGAGTGAGTGAGTATGGTTTTACGCCGCTCTTAGCAATATTCCAGCAATATCACGACGGGGAACGCCAGAAATGGGCTTCACACATAGTACCCATGTCGGGAATCGAAGCCGGGTCTTCGGCATGACGAGCGAACGCTTTAACCACTAGGCTACCCGACCGCCCCTTAGGACCATTAACACATGAACAGTGGAGCCACCAAATACACTCACAACCTGGTACCCCACTCAATACACAACTCACTGCCTTACATTATCACTCTGAATAAAATGCTTACCAGTTCACTTTCTTCTTCTTCCTCTTCATCTTCACTTGTATCTAGCTTCAGCTTCTTCTCCGGACTCTCAGCAGCATCTGCAACTTCCTGTCACATAAATATATAGACCTTCTGAACATCAAATTTCTCATGATCCTTAAACTGGCATAAAAATGAAGGTGGGTGAGTGGGTGAGTGAGTGGGTGGGTGAGTGAGTGGGTGAGTGAGTGAGTGAGCGAGCGAGCGAGTGGGTAAGTGAGTGGGATGTTGTTGGTTTGTTGTTTAACGACGGACTCGACAATATTCCAGCTATATGACGGCGGTTTGTAAATAATTGGAGTGAGTGAGTGAGTGAGAGCAATGTCGCATCAGCATTAGTTCAGTCATATAGTTCTCCAGAGAAAAATAAGCTGTGGTTCTGATGACACTTCATTTAAAACACAACCAGAAATTATTGGTAAACTACTGAAAAGTTAGCAGTCTTTAGGATATATTTTCATCTGTACAATTTGTTTTGTCACAAACATCCCATTTTCTTCTTCTTATGGCTCGACATATTTTCCAAAAATCACAAAACTTTACTTTCGCAGTCAACTTTACTTTCCCAGACCAAAGAATCTTATTCTTGAATCGTAAACAGTACAATCTTCATTTAATTGACAACAATCATAACATTGCGGAATACAGGCATTTTCATCATTATTTCCACAATAACGGATTTCTCTGAATAAGGTTTGGAAATTGTGACAAAGTTGGTTTCTTTGTTTGTTGTTTAAACAACGCCACCCTCGGCAATACTCCAGCTATATGATGGCGGTCAGTAGATAATTGAGTGGACACGGACAATCCAGTGATTGACATCATGAGCATCAATCTATCCAATTGGGAATCAATGACATGCATCAGCAAGGCTGACCACCTGATTACGTTAGTCGTCTCTTAAGATAAGCATGGGTTGCTGACAAAGAAATTGCAATTGATGAAGATTTCACTGATTGTTTAAAGCCATTATTCCTTCCTGCAGGAGTCACCACTCACCTGCCCTTTATAAGTGATGTCCCAGACCCTCAGCTCGCTGTCGGAGGATCCTGTCACCAGACGATGGTCATTTTTCAACAGAACAAAGTCGTACACCTGGAGACCATACAAACAGATCAAATAAAGTATCCACGAAAGTACAACATTTAATATAAAATGTCACATCTAATATTGGATGAAGAAAGAAAATATGGATGGAGCAACGATCCATGCTGTCCGGTTACAAGGACACACTACGAACCAGGCCACCGAGTCTGACCAGCTCAGCCACTTGGTCGCCTCATACAGTTTGTTTGTTGTTTAACGCCACAATCAGCAATATTCCAGCTATATGACGGTGGTCAGTAAAAAATCCAGCGATAGACATCATGAGCATTGATCCCTACAATTGAGATACAATGACATGCATCTACCAAGACAGCGAGTCTGACCACCCGATCCCGCTAGTCGCCTTTTACGACAAGTATGGGTTTCTGAAGACCTATCCTACCCAGCATCTTCATGGTTTTGTTGCTTTTACAACCACCATTGGTTGCTGGGGACCTATCCTAACCCAGAATACACCCAGGGACACCAAGAATGACATGAGGCAAGTGATTAAGGATTTGGGCTTTATCAGCATTTTCAAAAGTAATTAAGTCATTACACAACATGTCGGCTTATTGTGGGAGAAAAGCTCAACACACCACAATTCTTAGATGTGCAAAGAAACCTACATGCTTGCCACAGCTAGCGACGCAACGCACCTTAGGGACCGACTATTTGATATTCTGGGTTTGGTTGGGTAGGGGGTCTGTGATTTCAATTGGAGATTAGATATTTTTAGAGCTGCAGATGCAAAACCAGATAGTTTTTAATTAAAACAATCAGCCTAAATATTTTTTGGAGCAGAATCAGGAACATAGTCCCCATGTGAGAAATCAACCCAGGCGATCTGTTTGACACTACTTACATCAGCGCTACCCTACCACATCACAATAAAGTATTGTATCAGGAACATAGTCCCCATGTGAGAAATCAACCTAGGCGATCTGTTTGACACTACTTACATCAGCGCTACCCCACCACACCACAATAAAATATTGTAGCATACAGCATGGCTAAAGGCTCCGATCCAATGGGCGTTTGTGATTTGGGTCACATGCAGTACAACCATATCCTGATCGTGTACTTGAACCTTGCAATTTACATGACAAAGTCTGACAAAGTCATGAATACAATCGGCCTGCCCTTACCATTGCTTACCTCACTGCGATGTCCAACTAGTGTCTTGAAGCAATGCTGGGTGTCAAGATCCCAAAACTTGATAAATGTGTCTTTGGAACTGGATGATGGAAATGTTCACAAATTATGAAGTATACGTGCAGATCATATACTGAACCATAAACATTGGGACATCACTTATTAGACGATTCATTAAGGCCAAAACCAAAGGGAGTACAAAGAAGGGACAGAGCTTCAGATAACTTTTGGGGCAATTGAGTTTTTACTCAAGGGTTTCCATATTTTATTGGGTTATTACATTTTTCATTGGGTAATCAATATTTTTTTACTCATCTATTCATCACTCTATTGGGTTTTTCCCAAAATTAGTGAACATTTTAAGATTTAAAAAATACGAAATACTGCTTTCTAAAGACGTATATAACTGTTCTAAATATATAGGCTTTACTCAGAAAGAAAATTAGTATGTAATTGTGTTTCAGAATTAGCTTGTTTGTACGCATGCTGAAAAAGCTTCATTGGGTATTCACGCGTGCTGTATTTATAATTTGACTTTTTCATTTAATGCATACATTTCTGTACAGAAGTTATTGAAAGTAACTGGGTTTTGAATATGGGGGGGGGGGGGGGGGGGTATTTTACACAAATACGCTGCTTATCTGTAGCTCTGAGGGATGTTGTTAGGGAACATTTATACGGAATCTACAAAAGATACACCAGGCCTACCTTGTTACCAGCACATTATTTTCTTTCAGGAAGCAAACTTGGGTTATCTGCCCTTTGTGACCTCTCAATCTGAACAAGCCAGACTCATTGACGATGTCCCATACAATTACATCAGTATCCTGAAATCATTTACTGATCTTTAATAATAGTATTATTTGCAACTTGTCACTGCAGAAATAAACATTTAATTTTTAACACGCTTAAATTTCAATACATCAGAAACGAAGCTAAAAGTGATTAAGATCAGTGGAGAGTTTTGTTTGTTGTGGTGCTGAGAAACCAAAATCATTATCACAGGAAGAAATCTGGGATACTAACCCAGGATAAACAGATCCTGACACTCCAAAGTGACAAGTCAGCACAGTGATTCCTAGAAATCCTGCTACTGACCTTGTATTCTTCTAGTTGGTTGGTTGGTTGGTTTAACGCCGCATTCAGCAATATTCCAGCTATAATCGAGTCTGGACCAGAAAATCCAGTGATTAATATCATAAGCATCGATCCACGCGATTGGGATCGATGACATGTATCAACCAAGTCAGCGAGCCTGACCACCCAATCCCGATAGTCGCCTTTTATGACAAGCATAGTCACCTTTTACGGCAAGTATGGGTTGCTGAAGACCTATTCTACCCCGCATCTTCACGCGCCCAGGTGTTATCTTATACATACAGTACACAACTAGGACAGGCATGTATGACACTCACCCTGGCCCCTGACACAAGTCGCAGACCCTGTCGATCATATCGCAGCGCTGTAACGGCCGACTTATGGCCACTGAATGTGATGAGGAGGTCACCAGACGTCAGGTCAAACACACGAACTGTTCCATCATCGTACCCTACAGCCAGATGGCGCTTGTCCGGACAGCGGCATATAACCGTTACTTCATGTTTGTCTCCTTTAAGGTCGTTGAACTGGAACCAGAAGTAAGATTCATTTATCTGTGCTAAACGCTTCAGTTCCAGCCAAAACTTTCAAGCAGCTTAATTTGTATTATATCATAATCTTAATGTATTTACTATCAGCACATGTGGAAGCTAAGCCAAAAAGCTAAAGCCGTAATTGTGCAAGACTGCACAAGCTGCACCCTGATATCCATCAAAGATGACCATCTTGAACACGAAAAACAAGTGTTTTTCTCTAAAAATTTGTTGTAGTTTAACACTGCACTCAGTAATTCTAGCTACATAAATCATTGAGTTTTGTAATCACAGGTAGGAAACTGACAGCTGACTGCAAGGATATATTTAGCAGTGTGTGCATGTGTATCTAATGTGCTCTTGATCATTTTGATGAAGTTCACTGCTAAATATACTCACTCGCAGCTGACTGCTGATTCTTATCCACATTGTAATGCCATCAAAACTCAGTGATGATGTTTATTGCTAGAAAATGGACAACTCACATTTCTTGAAAAGCATACTTTGCAACTTATGTCATTACGCCGTGGCATAGCTTGTTTTCACTTTCGTAGTATTGGAACACATGCAGCTATCTTCGTTAACCAATCATCACAACATTTTGTGATTCTATTACAAGTTGGTTGGTTTGTTTGTTGTTCAACGCCTCACTCAGCAATATTCCAGCTATATGACGGCGGTCTGTAAATAATCGAGTCTGGACCAGACAATCCATTGATTAATATCATGAGCAGCGATCCGCGCAAGTTGGATCGATGATTCTATTACAAGTGGCGAGGACAATAGTACATCATTCATGTTGTAAGAGAGAACTAAAATGGGGATCAGGTGAGCAACTTGGTTGATGTGTATCATTGTGCCCTGAAGAAGTGGGTTGATGCCGATATTTTCACTCTTTGGCTTTCCCAATCCAGGCTTGATAATTTACACTCACCCACAAATACAGGTCACTATGGCAGAGAACGGCCATGTTTAGTGTTTGTCTCTCCTGCTCATCACCCATTTAATTCCATTAATACCGCCGCCATGTGTCTATATGTGACCATGCGAACCCTAATATAGTCAACTTAAGCATGTTAAAGAATGCATTCTAATTTCTACAAGCCTAGTGTTCAAAGTATCAAAGATTGTCTGTTCCAGCATGTTCAGGAAAGAGACGGCAGAATTTTCTAGTTGCAAAGTAGTACTCATTGAACCATGTTGAATAATATGTTACCTTCTCTCCTGTGCGTAGATCCCAAATAAGGACATTCTCACAGGCTCCCACTGCACAATACTTTCCTCTAGTTCCTCGGATGTCAAGAAATACAATGTTAGACTTCTGACTTCCCACAATACCAAATACAGCACTATGTTGATATCTTAGATACTGCTTGGTCAAACCCATTATGGACTTATCTGAAAAGAAGAAACATTGATTTAATGTAAATATGTAACATCTATTTCGGCATGACAATTGGCTGACCATTGCTGTCAGCAGTTTCAGCATGATTAAAACTGAACATATTTCGGAAAATAGGTGGGTTTGTTGTCTTACAGTGTCACATGCTTAATGCGCCTGCATGATTTGGGCCTGATGTAAGGTTTTAAACAAAGGGCATGCAAAAAGCATTTTTATTATCACCAAGTCTGAAAAGTATTAAGTGTTACTGGTGCATCGATAAGTTAAGCGTAAAAAGAACGTGGGCTACCCGGCTAGAGTTCCCTTCAGCTGTCCTCCAATCTCTGTGGCTTACGACGCTGTGATAACTGATGTCTCTTTAATGTCCCATTTTCATGCCAACACACATGGCTTTGAAATATGGCTATTCTAACAAATAGGTACCCTGACGTCAAATGTTAGTGTAGTGTGTATGTAGCTGGGATGTTTGTGCAATGAAGAGATAATATTCACCTGGTCACAACGTTGCCTTTTCCCATGTTGTCTTGTCTGAAAATGGGAATGAATATTCCGGAAGCACGTGTTCTCTTGCGCATGGATTGTTGAGCTCCCTGCTACGTTGTAAGGCAATGACCCTGTGTAGAGTTACTTCAGGGGTATATTATTTTGTCGCTTTGGTGTTCGAACAAGCAGTAGATTGAACCAGAGATCATATCTGATTGAACGCAAAGTGGATTAAATGTCTTCACTATATATTTTGTCCTATTAAATAAGAACTTGAATTTGACTCTAGCGTTTTAAATTTATGTATTAATAAATGTAAAATATAAAGAAAGGCCAAATTTGTTCATATTTCTTTTTTTTCATTTTGTTTGCTTTCGAATATTACCTACTGTCGGTAGCATTTAAATATTTGCAATACTGATTTCTCCCGAGATAAACGAGACTCGGGACATTTGAACTAAATCATTCAAAATCTTCTCTTACATATATTTTATTATGTACTAATTAATCTAAATTTAACAGATAACGATTATTCCTCACTGCATACAACGTGCTGTATAAACACAAATAGGATAAGTAACAATTTGCTTTTGGAAGTCTTGTTGCCCTGTTTGAAAACTTCCCAAACGTCGTCATCATCATCATCATCATGACAAGAAAGTATCGTTTTGCATTTATATCAGTGCACGGGTGGTTATTTGTAAATGATGTTACCTAGCAGTTATACTTATCTGTATACTCTTATGCTTTAGTGTTGCTTCGATTGTTTAGGACAAACCTGTCATAAAACATATATATAACGCATTTTGTGTTACCACGTGTGGATAAACCTCTACTCTGGGGGCTGTCCTATCGATGGCCCGGGTTTCTTAATCTACCCGGATCAGGGGTGGCCCAGTCGTCTTAGGCGCAGCGATTCGCTGTGCAGAGTTGCGTCCCTTGGGCATGACAGAAACCTATGATTGTGGGTTCGAATCCGGGTTCGAATCCCGGTTCGCCCCGATTATGTTTCTTGGGTTGTCAGCACCATACCCGTGCTCATGGGTTTCACCGAAGTGCTAAACGTCTAAGACCTGCATCACTTCTGGCTTTCCTCCCACATTTAACTTACACGCCGTGATATAACTGGAATACTGTTAAAAGTGGCGGTAAGCACAACTCACTCACTTAATCTACCTCCGAGAAGATCCGGGTGGAAACTAGTCTTCGGCAACCCATGCATGTCTGTGTAAGGACTAACGGGATCGGGTGGTGAGCCTCGATGACTCCTCCGAGTTGGGAGATTACGTTAATATGCTTAGGAGATTATATAGTTATGTAGTTATGTACATCATATGTAATTGGATGTGACATATCAGATAATAAATGTATGGCTTCACTGAACATCCATAGGAGATCCCAGTGTCAATGCTTTTGTATCAGTGCAGCGAGTTCCGCTACACTTTAGATTACATAATTGGCACACACGGAGATGAATTGTTCCGACTCGTCTTCGTTCAGTTCGTAGTCAGGCCTACAGAACAGTAGGCATAGCACAAGCTGAATATCAGATAGGGTTGGAGATATACACTGAAGCTTATTGGTCCAATGTTGATCAGTTCACACCACAGTTGAGCCCGTATATAATAAATTTCATCTCAGTGAACAACTGTAAATTCTACCACATTTCTCACAAAGGAATGTCACGTCGTTAAGATCTCTTATGGAAGCACAAACAGGGTTAGAAACTAACAGTTTTTGTCCACTAGTCCTTATAATGATAACATATAGAAAAACCCTTAAAATGAGCCAATTTCTACTAGTCCTTAGGATACATTTACTATTGGGCAGTTTGGTAAGGAGTATAGGACAAGTGCCAATTTCTAACGCTGACAAATATAGATTAGAAACTTTGCAGGAGCTCTGCACAAAGGATTTGCCTGAAGTGCCATGCTGGGGAACTCCAAGTTGATTGTGCAGCAATGCAAACCAAAAGAGTTCTTCGTCATTTACAATTCGTTCACACCACGCTTACTCATGAAACCTCTTACAGATTGTTCCCACCTCTTTTGACTGGCAAAGGTGCCTGTGAACAGGTACCCATCTACCACATTATTCAGCTTGTTCTTCTGCATCAGCCTCATCAGCCATGGCATTGCACATAACAGACGTCTGGTCATGAATACCCGATGAGGAAAATATATCTGGTCCATATTGTTGAGGTTTCCTGCAAAAAGAAGTTTGCATTATCAATCTCGACCTCTAAGGGTAGTAGTCCCAACAGGCCAAGGTATACATCAGTCCTTACTCTCTTTTGCAACCCTTGGATGACTTTGGTCATATGTGGACAGGCTCTCCAAAGTATAAGGAGCTCAGTAGAACTGGTAGAGTTCCACAACTGACATCCAAATAGGCACTTTGGTAGAGCAACAGCCTCAAACATGTTAAATGACTGACACATATAGAACCTAGTCCTTTGTGTGACGGAATACACATAAGGCCAGAGCTTATTGCTTGTCTCCAGAGTCATCTCGATAGAGTTAAGTCATCAGTCTGTACAACACCAACATGCTTCACTGACATGGCTCTAGGTATAGGGTGCCCGCAGAGCATTGTATTCAGATGGTACTTGCGGAGACCTTTCTCTGCTTATGAAGGTCATTTTCTTAATTTTAAAGGGAGAGAGTATGCAACGCCCCTGTTAGCTGTTATCACCTGCGATTTTCAGAAGTGTCGACAGATTTGCTGAACTTGAGCTGACCAAGGCGACATCATCAGCTTGTGTTGGATATCTAGTATGTAAGTCCATGAACGGGATCGGGTTGATGCATTTCATCGTTTCCCGATTGCATGGATCGATGCTCATCACATCAATCACTGGATTGTCGGGTCCAGACACGATTTTTTACAGACCGCCGTCATATAGCTGGAATACTGCTGAGTGCGGCGTTAAACAACAAACAAACAAAAAACAAAACAAAATGTAAGTCCATGATCATACACCCTCGTTTGGAGTCCACAGTCTTGTCTAAGAGCTGGTTTATGTCAAGCAGATATAGACTGCTGATAGTACACCCCCTTGGCGTACTCCCTGTTGCAGTGTAAAGCAGCGAGACTCCCTATCCCCTATTTGAATGGACTTCTCCATGTCCTGATACAGTTTTTCAATAAAAGTCCCCAATTTTCCCCTCTTGCCGCGATCATAAAGGTTCTTTCTTAGACCATCATGCCAGACACTATCAAAAGATTTTTGCACTGTCTTGGAAAAGTACATGAACTATGCTATCTCGTTCAGTATAATTGTGTACCTTTTCTTGTAGATTAAAAGACACATGTGTGGAACATAAGCCTTTTGGTATGCCATCTGTGCTGTCAGATGTGGAAGTAATACCATTTCAAATACTTTCGCTATTGCAGGGCTCAAAGATATTCCTCTGTATGCGTTCGGATCTTTTCTATATTTCCGGCCTCCTTTGTGAATAGGCAGAATAACACTTCGTTTCAATTTGTGCGGAATTATTCCAGTCTCTATGACTGTGTTGAACGGACAGCAGAGGTGATACATCAAAGTCTTTCTGCCAAATTTCAGGTGTTCGTACACAAACCCATCCAGCCTTTCCATTCGATTCGCTCTATAGATTCGCTCCACCTTCTCCGTGGTGATAGGAGGCATTAAAGCACATGTAACACAACCTCCTAATCTCCGTGATCTGTTTCTCATCTTCAAATCTGTGTCCTTCGTCAAAGTGAGCCACACTGGTTACGCGGAACACACTTTCAAAATATGTGGCCCACTTTTCCATGACATCACCAGAGCTACTGGATGTAGTTCCATCTCTACTCCTAATGGTGTGATGGTGTTTTTAAAGCAATTATTAATCGTCTTGTTTACCCAAAGACCAGAGGTTCATTGTGGTGGTATCGGAACACAGTTACATTTTTCAACTAGCCCGGTGTTTTAATCCCTTATAAAAAGTACGACATTACATTGCTGCAGGCAACATCAAAGCAATTTATACTGTAATATCCAAACCAAGGGCGTTTTGATCCAGTTCAGTAGTTTTGTCAGTCTGCAAACCACATAAGTTATTTGTAGCTTGCTTTCTGTACAGATCTTTACTGAACTTATATTCTCTGAATGACTGCCGGTCCAAACCTCTAGGTTTTCCCACTATTTCATTTCCATCTATTTCTTGACTCATGCATGTTGGTGTTGTGGACAGCGGTCAGAAGGTTAGTAAACGAATTTACTTTCCTGCCAAGTAGAAAGCGCGCGGCAGCGGTGGGGTGAAGGGTGTCATATTTCAGTTTATGCGCCAAGATCGCATGATTTGCTCACTTCCGTCTTATGGTTCTTGGTCTATGATCGGGCATTAAATGACTGAATTGTTGTTAAACACCACTTGGCAATGACGGATCTTCTTTTCTCCCCTATCATACAACTTGATGATAGAAGAATTTCCACGAAAAACTTTTGTCGCCAGCGGGATTCGAGCCCTCGAAGTACACATCGAAGGCTAACGATTGTAGTCTTCTGCCAAGTCAACATGGAACAAACTTGGTGAAATGAACAACTATATATTTACTTACTAATAACTTATCCCTTTATGCACCCTGAAAATTGTGTTTTATGCTATTATACATTGTACGAACGTGTGATTTGGTAGCGGTTCGTTCAAAGAAACGAAACGATAGACAAGAAATTCCTTTTATCTTGATCAGGGATATGTTTGGTCGTAATAAGCCCATTAACACTGGCAATTAATATTTAGGTGATTGATAAATGAGCTCAAAATTGGCCCTGTATGAATTGAACATTTGTCACGGACACCCGAGACGCCAAAAAGCCAGATGAACGTGGGAAAGGCTTGGAGAAGACATTTCACGTGCATCATACAATGCTAAACACACCGTTCACGAGAGTTGGTGAGGAGCTACCCAACAAGCACGCCCACATCGGGCAGATGTCGGCCCAATGATGTACGTTCCATCGACCCCCAGTCGGCATGATGACAGTTTTACTCATCAGTTATGCATCGGCTCAATATCGGACATCATACTCGGCCTATCCTCGGTCCATGGTCAGGCAATCGAGAAGCCGTCTTTCAATTGGCCAACCAATCCCTATAAATGGTCACTGTTGGACTTTAAAGAACTCTCTAGTCTATGTATATATAACA